GAGGAGTAAATCTGTTATAGATGAAACAGAACATAATGCCATCTCAATTAAATGTTCTGTAACAGATGTGTACAGGACACAAAAAGTAAATGTGTTATTTTGGCCGGTGAATTTTTTCATCTACCTGCCACCCTGGTGTGTGTGTGTGTGTGTGTGTGTGTGTGTGTGTGTGTGTGTGTGGGGGGTTTCCCTGAAGTGCTCCTCATTCTCTTCTTTGTTTGTCTTAATTACCATCACAGCTGGACAACCCCTCCCCCCCCACACACACACAAACACACACACAGCAGCACTCATCTGCATCAGACCCCCCCCCCCCCCCCCCCTCCTCAAAACACACCAGGGTCCGACCTCTGAACCTGAACCCTCACAGGACGCACAAAACCCCCCCGGGAGCGTGTTCACCTCCAGCTGCTCGCCTCGTTTGTTTTTCTGGAAACAGATACGACATCATGATCGACTTCAGGGGGGGACGGATCGATTTGTCATCTTTAAAAAACTACATTTACAGAACTGACCCCTAGCTCTAGTGCTAACAAAGCTAAAAGCTAAAACAGGACAGCTGCTCCAATGTGTGTGAGAAAACTACAAACTGATCATTTTAAAGTACTACAGGCAGAGGGAGGAGGCGTTCAGGTGCACGTGAGGAGCAGGAGAGGGTGACGAGGGGGTAAATGTGCAGTGAAATGTGGAACACACACACACACGCACGCACGCACACACACACACACACGCACGCACGCACACACACACACACACGCACGCACACACACACACTCGTGGGTCCCCTCACCACAAGAGCTCTTTGTGTTTGCTACCTGATGCATTAATCATCCGAGCTGAACCGAGTCCAGCTCTGCGTTCCAGCGTGGATTTAGAGAGAACCAGTTTTCTCTCCTCAGAGACTCTGCAGCTCCGACCACAGACTGAACGTGAACGCTCTGAGCATGTGCAGAATAAACTCCAACAATGTCTGCTCTTTGAGACGGACTCAAGTTCTTCTTCAGGCTTTGACTTTTACAAGATCTCTGTGACACTTTGATCCATTTTACAGGAGGAGAAAACACAAACTTCTGATGACTCATCCTGCATTCAGGGTCGTTTACTAACTTTTCAACCAATTAAAAAGCTTTGTTGAAGTCCCAACGTTATGTCCCGCCTCTGTCTTGTGATTGGCTCTGTCCCGTTTTAACTGAAAATATGTCACGACACTGTTCAATACTCTTGTAGTTCTGTTTCATGGGGACTTCATCATTAGTGTTAAACGGTGTTATGGTTTAAAAAGTGACCGTGTTAACTGGTGACTTTCAGCTGAATGCGTCAGTGGTTGTCGTGGTTACAGACATATTATATGACTGGTATTTTATCACAATGAAAACTGATACAAAGAGACATTTGTTGGGACACTTTCCATCTTCAACATCTGTTGTTACTACGGCAACCCCTGACACATTCTGCACGAAGTCTCCAGATAACACGGTCACTTTTTACACCCTTACACCGGTGTTATAAATTATATAAGTCCCCTTAACGTCAGAACAGATTCAGACGTTTGAGTTTAAAAAGGTGCAGATCTAATGAGGGAAGACGGAAACGGTGAGTGTCGCAGCGAGCGTCACAGCGAGTGTCACAGAGCAGCGAGTGTCACAGAGCAGCGAGTGTCACAGAGCAGCGAGCGTCGCAGCGAGTGTCACAGAGCAGCGAGTGTCACAGAGCAGCGAGTGTCACAGAGCAGCGAGTGTCACAGAGCAGCGAGTGTCACAGCGAGCGTCACAGAGCAGCGAGTGTCACAGAGCAGCGAGTGTCACAGAGCAGCGAGTGTCACAGAGCAGCGAGTGTCACAGAGCAGCGAGTGTCACAGAGCAGCGAGTGTCGCAGCGAGCGTCACAGAGCAGCGAGTGTCACAGAGCAGCGAGTGTCACAGAGCAGCGAGTGTCACAGAGCAGCGAGCGTCGCAGCGAGTGTCACAGAGCAGCGAGTGTCACAGCGAGCAGCTCAGAAATGTTTGTTTGGGTCGCAGTCAGCCGAGGTCGAACACGTCCGGCGACCTGATTCAGCTGAACTCTGTCACAGAGAGAGAGAGTACTCTACAGTCAGACAGGAAGTGACAGACAGTCGACCTCTCTGAAGACTCCACACATGAATGAAACACACCCCCCCCCCCCCCCTTCCAAACACATCTGCATCTCACTGTCTGCACCAATGACGGCGCCCGTACGTACATATGAACGCACTCAGATTGATGCTGCTGTGGTTGTTTGAACGGGAGTGTAAATCACACAGGAACATATCTCACACACACACACACACACACACACACACACACACACACACACAGGAGGTGATAAGTTGAAATCAAAGAGCTCATAATTTCTCTCAATAACAACTGAGTCCGGATCAGTTATCCAATCACAGGTGCACACACGGATGGCTCCACCCCCTAAAGATCTGACCAGCTGTGCAGCCAATCAGCAGCTTTAAACCTCTTCATCTGTTTCAACACTGAAAGATGATGTGTATGTAATGATATCGTTGTTATTTAAAGTTGAAACCCTGCTGCAACAAACAGGTCAGAACAACCAGTGAAGCGCCACAGAGACGCGGTCCCCGTGTGTCAGCGGGCGGCTCGCTCCCACTTTTATCTCCGACGGCGAGCGAGCGGCATCAAACGCGGAGGAGGAAGACTTTCCATGAATAGAAGCCCAAGAGAGGAGAGGAAGAAAGACGACGACACACATTTAAATAAAACTAATGAATACATTACAGACGCTTTTATCTGAGTCCTAATGGATTATCAGCCTGATACTGGGGGGGGGATGTCCTGAATGCTCTGGATTTGTTTGGACCAGAGAAGGTAGGCGCTTTTAAGGCACACCCCCACACGGCCGTTTTGGACGCCCCTCGGTTTGTCAGATATGAGAGCAGTTATCAGGTCAACAGGTGTTGCAGCGATGGAAGCGGTCAAGAGAAGTGGTTCAGATAGAAGTGATTGTACCCGACCTAAAAAGCCTCTGCATGTTTCTAATAAGCTCCACGAGCAGAAACGTGCTCAAACTAGGATCAATATTGGAGATGCTTTTGAAAAATGGAGAGAGGTTAGAACACAGAAAGGTTTACAGACCCATGCAGAGCTGGATAAACACTGAAGCTTCAGAGTCCACCACATGGTGACCTGAGTGAGCATGGACTCTAGAGAGGAGGGGGGGGAGACAGCTCTCTACAATGTTTAGAATTTAGACTGCAGTACCCATTTTAACCACTAGGTGTCAGAGTTACATACTGCTCCTTTAAAGTAGGCCTATATAACTCTTGTTCGAAAAATATCAGTAATCTTAGGCGTATCGACCAGCAGAATCAGGTCAATAAAACTCATCCCTAAAATTATCCAACATAGAGTATGTGGGACTTCTGTTTTTGTTGCCATGGTAACTAACAGGTAGATTATAAAACCTGTTGACCGACTGAAGAAAGTAAAATGAGGAATAATAAAACTATCAACCTTTGATGCTGCTGAAGGCTCCACATGGAGGTGGATTCAAGTTCAGAACATCAGGGAAATCAAAAGCTGAAACCTGAAGTTTCTTTCTAATAAATGAATATTCAGAGAGTGTCTGTGAGTTTGTGATGATGAACCCCGCTCTCTCTCGCTCGCTCGCTCTCTCTCTCTCTCTCTCTCTCTCTCTCTCTCTCTCTCGTTTTTTCTCCTCATTCAAACATTCCTGAGCTGCCGACAGCGAGCCGCTCGTCCTCACAACACTGACCCTGTTGTTCTGTTTCCAGGAGGAGCCGCGCAGACCTTCTGAAACCAGATCTGATCCTGGACCAGCTGAGGACAAAGGAGCAGAGACACAGACGCCCTCCTCCTCCTCTTGTTGAGTTGAGTTTTTACTCACAAACACAAACTTAGAAACTCCAGACAGGCTCTAGAACAGATCCTCTGAAATCTGAATCGTTTCTCATTCATGCTTTCAAAAAAAGTTTTGATAAAAAACGTTTTGATAAAAAAACGAAATATTTTTTTCTAGGGCGTCTGACAGAAAGATCAGCAACAAGCAGCTCTCCCTGAAATGTTCAGGAGTTTGGTTCATGCGTTCTTTTCCCAGTTTCTTTGATTCTGCTGTAAAAGAAAACAACAGCTTCACTATAAGCTGATTTATTTCTTGGGTATAAAATGTCGAGTAAAGAGCGGGAACATCCAAAAGATAAACTGCAAAGTGTTTAAAATAACAGTCAAAGGTTAAAAAGTTACGTCTGGATTCTGAAGTTTTCTGTTAAAAAAAAAGAGCAAAGTGAAATCTGATTCACATGTTCAGACTGATTCTGATCTCATGTGTGTGCTCATTGTGATCCTTAAAGCAGCTTAGCTTAGCACAAAGGCAGCAGACTCAGAGGAAACAGCTAGCCGTGTTGGGACGTCTTTTCAGCTTTTTCTCCTCCACAGAAACTTGACATGAGCAGACCGAGCTGCAGACCGAGCACCAAGACTTCTCCTCGTTTCATAGGTCGTCTACTAATGGAGAATAATGTCTGATAAAAAGTTGAAAAATGGCGTTGTCAGTCGTTGGTCTTTAAGCGGAGGAGACAAATCAGGAGAAACCGCTCTAATGGGTGAAAGCATGGAGACTACAGCGGCGTGCTCGAGGGGCTTTACTGAACCTGCGTCCCGCCCTCCCCGTCCCGCCCCGCCCACACTCACCCTCGTTCGGGGTCCAGAGCGATGGCCCTCGGTTGGTCCAGCTCCTGCCAGAACAGAACTTTCCTCAGCGAGCCGTCCAACTCGGCCACCTCGATGCGATTGGTCTCCGAGTCCGTCCAGTAAAGTTTACTCCCCAACCAATCACAGGCCAGCCCGTCCGGGGACGCCAGCCCCGGCACCACAATCTGGATGGCGCTGGCCCCCGACTGGTTGAAAACGGTGCGTTTGATGGCCTCCTCGCTCACGTCGCTCCAGTATATGAGACCCTGCGAGTAAACGTAGTCCACCGCGGCGGCGTCCTCCAACCCACCGACCACCACCGTGGCGTTGGCCTTCTCGTGTGCCGCGTCCACGAGCCGGAGGTCTCGCCGGTTCGCATACAGAAGCAGCGGCACGCCTGGAAGAGAGAAAAAATACAAAATGTAACTTAAATACACTTTTTAAACGATGTTGAAACTTTAAAGAGGAGGGGGCGGAGCTCTCTATGATGCAGTACCCATTTTAACCACTAGGTGTCGGGTTACATACTGCTCCTTTAAATACTTTTTTAAAAGTTGATATTTCTAATAATGTTGATTCTCATGAAGTGAGAACAGTTTAAACCACTTAAACTATTTTAACAACGCACAAAAACACGATTTAAAGACATAAAACACACTTAAACATTTTAAAACAGGCTTTTAAAATGTTTCCTCAAAGTTTGGAAAAAGTCACAAAAACTCTCCTTTAAATGAAGAAAAAGACTTTAAATATAAACCAGAACATCTTCAAACTCCATTTAAAATGTGTTAAAATACATGATTTTAACTATTTAAGATGTTTAAAAGTGTTTGAGGTCTCATTGATTTCAGCTGAACAGAGAGAGCGAGATGAGCGTGTCAGTGTTTCAGGTGTTTTTTTCTGACACCTGACAGAAGTGACCCCCCTCACCCCCCCCCTCCCCCCGTATGAACTTAAGAAAACAAAACGCTCCTCTCGTGGTGTTAACTCGACGTGCCGAGCAGCGAGCAGAACTCTGGACTTCCTCTCTGCAGGATCCTGGCTCTGAGCCGAACCCACAACCCGACAGATCCACACGCAGAGGAGGTCACAGAGACCCCCCCTCCCCTCCCCCCGTCCCCTCGCTCGCCTCCTCTCACCTCACGCAGGGGGAATTTCCTTCTGCAAATATTTACTACAACCAAACCTCCTCAGACGTACGAGCCTCCACGAGCCGAACGCTGCAGGAGGAAACGTCAGGACGGGGAACACCTGTCAGGTGTTGATTCATTTATTTAAAAACATTTATTACATTAATTACAGGCTGACGGGCTGACATGAGGAGTTCTGTGGGTAGTTCATCACTTCATATATTAACTTTCCTGCTCTCTCGTGTCTCTGATATCATCAGATCCGTCTCATAACGATATAACTCTACATTACTCCTCTATCCATATTGCATCTCGCAGAGCTTTAACTTCTGGGGATGACGACCACAGGACACACACGGCTGATGTCGTGTGTTTGTGCACGCCGTGTTTAAAGCGAGGACTTAACTTTACCTTAAAGTCCTCCAGCCTGCAGGTGTTACACTGTCCATAAACATCACTATCTGACATGAGCTTTAATATTATCTAACCCCTCCAGATGACACAGATGTTTTATTGGGAACTCTGATATGAAATTAGGAGAATTTTCCTTATTTTCCATGTGTTTTCCAGGTTTTTTAAGGACCCTGTGTTGGCTTTATTGTGTTTAAAACTAACTCTGTCAGGTCTGTGTGTTTTCTAATGTCACATAAATCTAAATCTAACTCTAAAAAATGAATAAAACTTGATATAAAAATTATAATTTAAGTAAAAGTTTTGTTTAAATCTTGTTGTGTATCATCAAAGTCCAGAGCATAACACCACAACCTGTTAGGATGTTATTAGTCCAGATTTTACTGAGATCTGAAGTGATTTAAAGACTCCAATAGAACATTTAGATTAATTTGTGTTCTTTTAGTGTTTTATTTGTCTACAGTCGGTCTGTGAGAAGCTAACTAGCTGAATGACTTGCTAACGTAGCATTTGTTGTGCTAAAAGCTTCCCAGAGTGTTTAAGTTAGTAAACCAGAAGTTAACGAGGTAACATCCGCTGGAAACTAACTTAAAATAATAAATCTACTCTGGAAGTATGGAGTAGCGGGGTGGGGATGATATGTGGGGCATTTTTCCAGCTAAACACAGGCTGTTTGTGGTTTCTTTCTCCACAGCTTCCAGCAGCACACAGGCGGAGAGGCACCGCACGCATAGCAGCCTGGCTAACGCTGCTTTCAAGACCTGGCAAAATAATCGGATAAACGACTTTTCGTTTACAAACTTTAATAAAAACAGGTTTCCTCAAGGCTGAACATAAACGCTGACTTGCAGAGTTCATTATGTATTTCATATTAAAGAGAAATAAGGTGGATGTAAGCCTATATTTACTCACTGGTCAAACTTTTCATAATCTCTCTCAGTGCACATCACTTTCTTCTCATCTATAACGTCTAATATGACACTTGGTTGTGTAAACATGTTGCTAATAACGTAATGTGGTAGTAATATATTCTGGGTCAACAATATATACATATTTTTAAGTGTCTCCCTTGATGTTCGTAATGAAGACAACAAAGTTTAGCGAAAGGAATTGATACGTCGGGAAATCCGAGCATCGGAAGCGTACGTGAATGCACCTCGGATGCAACGTTAGCTCCGCTCGGGAGAAATCTACACCCGGGAATGAGGGCCCTTGCCCGGACACAGCATCGAAAATCACCCCTTAAAACTGATTTTAACAACTCTTAACAACACTTTTAAACATCTACGGATGACATGTGAACGAAAAGAGCCGCAAAGATGTGGAATTGTAGCGAAACTCACCTCGTATGAGCAAACAAAAACTACACAACAACAGGCTCCGCAGCACGACACCCATCTTTCTCCCGTTTCTTTGGCCCTGCCGCCGCGCTCCGCTCAGCGCAGGACTCCCATCGCTGCGGCCGCTTCCTCTGCGGAACTAAAATAATATCCCGACGATTATTCAGGCTGAGATCGAGCTGAGAAACGCGCTAGATTATCCCCAAGTCCATCATGGCTGCGGCTAACTGCGTTGGATCAACTCTCCCGTGTCTCACATTGTCCTGCAGGAGATCCGTCGTCTCCTTCCGCTGTGAGGAAGCTGCTGCTGCCCCCCCTCCTCCTCCCCCTCGTCCTCCTGCCCCCCCCTCCTCCTCCTGCTGCTCCGCCGTAGTGATGGGAAGTCCGGCTCATTTTAGTGAACGGATCATTTGACTTACAAAGGGAGGATTTATTTGTAGAGTCAGGACAGTGGACATGCTGGAAAGGAGCCACAGCTCGGAATTGAACCCAGCACTACAGCCTCTGTTGATGGGGCACCAACTGACTGCGTTTCCAAAAAAATTTGAAATTATGAATATCAAACAAAAAAAGTTGATACAATTTCATAAATAAAGAATATAATAGAATAGAACAGAATAGAATAGAATAGAATAGAATAGAATTACTTTATTGATCCCAAACTGGGAAATTGTGGCGTTACAACAGCAGGTTGTCCAAACACACAATATGAGTAAAAAACACAATATTAGCAAATTTAAACACAATATAATATTAAATACAAAGTAAATAAGCACTAAAAATATCAAAACTAAGAATGTGAATCTATACAACCAGGATTTAACTTAGCATTACTAGACTTAAATATGAAAGATTAAATGTAAATGTGCAGAAACAGAGTAGTAAATGGACAGTATTGACATAAGTTAAAGTGCAGGAGTGCAGACATGTTATCAGCAGAAACTATTCAATATAACGTTGAGTAGACAAATGAAGTGAACATGAGTGCAGGGATCATTTGTAAATGTAACATGTGCAGATCAGATTACAGTATGGAGAGACAGATATGATCATGATGACGGTTCTCTGCTCGCAAAAGGTGAGCTGTTGTAGTTAAAGCTAATATTTCATGCATTCATTCTTAATTATGAATAACTATTATCCTTCATAAAATCAAAACGGATGAGTTATCAAAAGTTCAAACCTCTTACAGCTTGTGCCGATTAAAACTTTAACTAATCAGACCAAAATTGTTTTTAAAACCAGGCTGTAAACTTGTAAATGTCTGCTGTCAAAATGTAATTTTTAACATGGGTGTGTGTGTGACTTCTGGCTCTTCTACAGCCAGCCTCAAGTGGACACTCTAGGAACTGCAGTTTTTTGCACTTCAGGATTGGCTTTATTATTTTTAACACTCGAGGTTGCCGCTTGTTCCAAAGTCATTTAGCAGTGGTGGGTGAAATCCAGTCTGCTCAAAGACGTAATTAAAACTTGAAGTGTTTTTAGAAGAACGTTCCCCGGCAGGTTTTTCTTTTGATGGCGCTGTGAAGAGAATCGGTTCTAAGATCCGACTCGTCCACGGACGCACCATCCCTCTTCCAGCGCCTCCTCGGCTCCTCCTCGCTCCTCTGCTTTCTATTGTTGTTCTGATTTCATGCTCTCCAGCCAAAGATAATGTTACAACACGGAAAACGCCCCGCCGCCTGCACGTTACACTGCCGCTGCTAAATACAAGAAACACAACACACACACACACACACACGCATACACACACACACACACACACACACACACACACACACACACACACACGCGCGCGCACACAGACGAGCTGCTGTGTGGAGAAACACACACATTCCTGCGGGACTAGTTTATCACACACACACACACACACACACACACACACACACACACACACACACACACACACACACACACACACACACACACAGTTTACTCACAACAGAGCTGGAGGAAGTACTCAGTCTCCTGCAGTAAAAGTACCGTGAAGGTATTCTACTGCTGCTTTTAAAATCATAATAATCCGATTTTTAACAACTTAAAATGTTGTTTTGTAGGTTGATCTACTCCAATGCTTTATATTCTATTAGATTTTAACTCATAGTGTTGTAAAAAAGTCGAAAAGTTACCTCTGGATTAGAAAAAAAAGGTGCAAAACGTGGATATTAAATGTAATTCAGTTGTTTTTCACTGATTTAATTTTGTCCTGAGATCATTTAAACTCACATTTTAGAAGAATATAGTGCCTTAATTATATATACACGTTGTTGTCCTAGATCTAGTTCAAACAGAAGATCTCGAGACCTAAGTTCTACAGTAGCCTGAAGTGGACATGCATCAAGATATTTTAATCAACTCTGTTTGCATGAAAATAAGTTTTACGTTTCTGTTGTTTTCTCCAGATCTCGACTTATTCAAGGTGTTTATCTTGGCACAAAGACGATGTTTAATCCGTGATGGCGGATCGATATCAAGTCCTCTTCTTGAAATCTGGAGGTAGATGACCGCTTAGAGCTTCCGTAAAATTGAATGAATTAATGAGGGTGCTTTAATGTAAAAATGAATTTAAAGGAGCAATATAACACCTGGTGTTAATTAATAATGAATCCGTTATCTTGATATTTGAAGGGGTTAGAATAAAGTTCTCATCATGTTTATTTACTGTAATGTAGTTTTGTAGTACTCGAGATTGATCTTAACCTCAAAGTTGAACTTCTGTACAGCACTTAAAGTAAACACACAACTGAACATTTAACTGCTGCAGTCTGTAAACCAACACGACATTCAAAAATCACATTTTTTAATTCTTATAAGAACAAAACATCAAAGTCCAAACTTATGCAAAAGCATCACTTCACAAAACGAGACCAAACTATTTCCATCGATGTAATTAATCAGACACTGTAAGAAAAGTTTCAAAGCAAGAGAAGTGAAAACAAGTCAAAAGAAGAAGTGCAGCTTCAGGCATTTATCAGGCTGCTGCTGCCCCCTGGTGGTGGACTGACGCTGCAGCAGCTTCAGTCTGCACCCCTAAAAACACCGACATCCATTACAAACATACTTATTATTATTATAGGAAAATAGTGCGCGGCCAGTGTACTCTTACCTATGAAAAACAATCTAATATTCAAAAAGAAGCATATCATATTTATCAAAAAACACAGGACACAATAGTGCATTGATTTTCAGAGAATTGCATCCATCGTTTACATTTTGTTCCACATGTGAAAGAAGAAAAATGTGGACAAAATACAAAACGACACAGTGAGAGAGTGAGTCCGACGTGTAGACGGCGTGTGTGTTTGGAGAAGCAGTCACAGGCTCGTATGGCTGAAGCAGGTGGAAGTAAAAAGTCATGCAGGTGTACGTCTTATACACAAAGGGTTAACTCGCCCCATGGCAAAAAGAAGGCCTCGAACCACGCGGGCCTAATGTTCAGATGTGTGTCCGCTCATACAATCCAGTGTTTCTCTACATTAGCTCCACTTCAGAGGCTTCCTGAGATTCAGGGATAAAAATATTGCTGTTTGTTTCTTTGACTTCCATCGGCAGCTGACGTTTAAGTTCACTTAAATTAATCGGATGGAGGTTAAAAAAAAAAAAAGAGATTAAAAAGTTATTGAACTCACTCTCTGGCACAGATTCAGCTTTGAGCAACATCAATAAAAGTCAGGAATAAGATGCAGATTGAAATAAAATCTAAAAAGTTCAAGAAAAGGTCAATGTGAGACATCTACGGAGGCATAAAGATGCCATGTTGAAAAAAAAAGTTGTGTTTTTCTGAAAACCATCCTAACGTTGATGTGTTAATGTCTGCATGAAATGTGTTCAAAATAAAGAATGTTCACAGGTATCATGTGCAAAGGTGTGTTATTACAGCCTGTCCTAACAGCACACGACGCAAGCTATCAACAAAATCAGATTGATTCTATTGTTTCCTATTTGAGCGTCCAAACTGACCGCAAGCTGTTTTCCTCGATATATATTTATGTGGAACATGTCGCACATTCTTCCTTTAATAATTTAGGCATCACTTTGATGATGATTCTTGATGATTTGATGATGATGTTTCTTGATTTGTCATCTCTTTTCTTTTTTGGAGTCGCTAAACCAGATAGCGTATTTGTACATTAACTTCATATTCTGCCATGAAACGAGAATATTTTGAAAGCTTTTTTTAAGCGTTGTATTTTATCTCATGTACTGAGTCGTTCTCCTGTGATTACAAATAACGCAAGAAATAAAGGCTTGAGGTACGGAAGCCTTAAGCGGACAAACTTTAACACATAAAACCAAATTAACTGTTTGGAAAAAGCCAGCAAGTTGAGATCTCATCAAAACAACCAAGATTAATTTAGCATCACTGTGAAGACGGATTAAAATCAAATGTTTGAATGCATGTCCTCTTTCAGCTTCCGAGCAGCGGAGCACCGACTTCACAAAGTGAGGCTGAAAGCACTGAAGCCCTAAGCGGACATGCATCCATACATTTTAATTTACCCCGTTTTCCCCGTTGTAACGAATACATTTCCTCCTAATTTATTTATCTCGTCATCTTGGGATAGCATCGCCTGGTTTCCAGTAAAATCGACTTCATTTGAAGCGTTTTCTCGAGATCTCAAGAAATTAAGTAGTCATCCCAGACAAACCAGCGTTCTTGTACCAAGACAACGAGAGAAACAAACCCAAATGTCCGCTGAGGGCTTCCGTATATCTGAGTGTCAGAGGACTCAATATAAAGGTTAAAGGCCAAATGTCTGTCATTGATTGTTTTTCAGTAAAATGAGAATCACGTAGAACGTTATTATTCCTTTAAATCACATCAGGACGGCTGTAAAATCTGTCAAATAAAACAAATAAAATGTTTCAGTTTAAAATTCAAGAAAGAAAAAGTCTTCAAACTCATAATTCAGGGCATAAACAAAACAATGTGGACGTTAAATAAACGGTTCCAGAGCTGTGGGGCTATTGCAGAATAATGCACACCCTCTGGCCAATCAGAATCGAGTTCTCTCTTTAGCCACGCCCCTTTATCGTAGTGAAGTAGACATTCCATTATTGTGTAACTTTGTGATGTTTGAAAATCAAAAAACGTCATAAATCAAACGTTAACAATTGTAATCTAACTGAGTGAGTCCTGCTTTTTGTCTTTTCTGAGCTTCCGTAGTAAAAAAAAAAAAATCAAAGACCCGCGAAGAGTTTAGTCCCTCCTCACACCTCGTAGTGCAGGTCGTTCAGCTCCAGTCTCGTGTAATGGCGTCTGTCGAAGGACTCCATAGCTTTCCGTCCACCGACCGCCAGAGCCA